GTCTTCCTTCCTCCCTCCCTCCCTTCCTTCCTTCCTTCCTTCCTTCCTTCCTTCCTTCCTTCCATTTTTTGTGAGAGCATAAAAGAAGTGGAGGAATAATCTGTGGCTTATTGAATCTGTCTAGTGGTTCTGTGAATTATGGATTTGGTATCATAGTGCCTTGTGCTACTACATTTTCACTTACAAAGTTGAACTGGTCATGCATTAACTGACATTTATCTAATGCTTTCTTTCTTTTTTTTTAATGTTTACTTATTTTTGAGAGAGAGAGGAAGAGAGAAAGAGCAAGCGTGAGGGAGGGAAGCGGAGGGAGAGTGAAGAATCTCAAGCAGTCTCTGCACTGTCAGCACAGAGCCTGACATGGGGCTCCATCCCACAAACCACGAGATCATGACCTGAGCCAAAGTCAGATGCTTAACTGACTGAGCCACCCAGGTGCCCCATTATCTAATGCTTTCTTTATGGGAGATACAGACATGTTCAGGAGAGATTAGGTTCTATTTAATTTGTAGCAGAAGAAATTGAGCTAGTGTAGATTGACAGGTTTTCTGCTTAGTAATTTTTAAGGGGGTAAGAGTAGAGAGAGTTGAAGTCTCCTAATTCTTAGTTTATTTCTAGACCCGAAGATTGTTATTGTTGTTGTTTTTTAATTCCATTTTAGACCACAATGGGATGATGATAAAACTTTAGCATGGCTGTAATTAATAGGTGATGTAAGGATCGTAAACTGATTTTAAAACCCTTCATTTTATGATAGTGTTTTAAGCTCCTTGAAACCACTTAATTTATTCCTGTATAAGAGTACACTGATACATGAAAATGAGCAGTAAGTTTTTGTTTTTCTGTTAAAGTCAGAATAAGAGGCATAAGATATTAGAGAGCAGTGTATATTTACTCTGGTCCAGGCACGGTGTGCCACGCCCTTTACATGTTAGCGAATTTAATCCTCCTATAAACTCTGAAATAGGTACTATCAATACTATTTTACACACGAAGCTTAGGCCATTGCTTGTGTGTGGCTGCAGGGCTAGTAAGTATTTGTACGGAGGTCTTTGTTATCCAGAGCCTGACTCTTAACCACTAAGAGCTTTTGTGTTTATATTTTTTCTTTATTTGAAACTTGAATGTTTACCTAACGTAGTTTTGTTTTCACTCTTTGCTGTATTCAGTCACCCTGAAAAATAAAAAAATAAAAGAAAACATTCTGAGAATGTTTAAGGGTATTTCTAAAACATACTGACAACCAGCAAGTCTAGATGGTTCGTTAAATGAGTTTGGTTTCTTTCAGTTCTCTTGGTTAAATTTGAAAGGAAACGAAAATTTCCATTACCTCACCTCTGTGCATTTTGGGGGCCTGGTTAATTAGTATTGTAAAGTTCTGTAAAGGGTTTATTCATAAACTTGTTAAGGAACTTGACTGGAACATCACACATTTGATTTTAGGATTGCTTTACAATTTAGATGTGTCCAAGCAGTCTGAATTTAACAGAAGTAACATACCAAGTTGTTAATATTTTTCTTTGTGTTCTTCTTTTTTTTTTAACCTCCTCTCCCTTTAGAGGAGACTACAGTAATCTTTGCATTGTTAATAGAAAAAAAAGCAAGGAAGTTTCTTTTTGTGGAGAGAGGAAATGACTGTTAGTTCGGGACTTTATCCATATTAGGTATAAACTAAATATAGAAGTGTAATCCAGGAGTGAAGTCACATCTATAAAGTTTCTTAAGCAAAGCTAATGAGATCAGCCAGTGCTTTTGGATTTGGGGTTTTTTGTTTGTTTCATTTGGTTTCGCTTTTTTTTTTTTTTTTTGGCTCACTTAAAAGGCTATGAAACTGATTAATCCTGTGGTCTGTCTTCTTTTGTCCCTTAAAGAAAAACCAGACCATTTATAAGGAATCTTTCTTTAAAACACACACACACACACACACACACACACACACACACACACACACACACA